AGATATAGTCTGTTAAAACAGCTATATACTATCTTTTAATAATTTGTTTTGTTACAGTCTTTCTTATTTTATCTTTCCTTTCAATTTCTTTCTGTCTATCTATTTAATGTGTCTATCTTCAGCTGTGTTCTCTTTTCCTTTGTCATGATATTGTCAAATGGTTTCAAAGTATGAGATGATGTTAAAACACTGCAATTTATAAACAGTTTTTATATTCTGAGCTGAAATTTTCTGATTTTACATATCTGAAATTGATGAATGTATAATAGTTAACTTTACAGACATAGAAAAAACCCTGAGAACTAAAGTTCTCAGGTAGATGTCATAGTCTCTGACTGCATACATCTATAATTGAAGAATAATAATAATAATAATAACAGTATGCAGTCTTCAAGTGTTCATCATTCTACCTGTTGTATGAATTGCATCTGTGCATTTCAGAGAATGCTCTGAAAAAGGTGAGAAAGAAAACAGCAGTTACAGATACAGCAGTAGCAGTTGCAGATGCAACAGTTGTGAATGCAGAATCAAGATTGAAAGAGATCAGCTATACACATGCAAAAGCTAATAAGTTACTTCTGAACTGAGCAATTCAATCAAAAAGAATATGAGACTCACTTGTTAAGAAATTGAGTCTCAAGATAAGAATATAAGTTCTTGTATACAATGAGAGTTCTGAGAAGTTTCAATCTAGATGATTTGAGTTATATAAAATACTCAAATCACATTCTCTGAGAATGTATGCATTAAAAGAATCAGAGGGATGAGTCTTATACAACTTAATCAATGATTCATAACTTATGAAAGTAAAGATATAAGATCTGAGTAGATTATGATTATTCACAGCACTATTATCAGTATTGAAAAAGAAGAGACTTACAATTAAAAAGTCTTACAAAGTAAGAGAAATTATAGATGCTTACAAATCAGATAATCTCACTTATTCTGATCTTTTCACAATTATAAGAAAAGAATGAGAAGTAATGAAGAAATCAGATGAATATCATACTTTAATAAGTGATAAGACTGTAGTCAGTTGTATGATAATGTATCACAGATAGTGAGTGTAATGTGATAAAGAGCAGTCTCAGAGTGACAGACTTGTACATGAGTCAGATTATAGAAGAAAAAGAGATTCAGAGTTGAATTTAACTGTTTATATCAGTTCAATTGCAGAGATTACAGAGAATGAGCTATCTGAAATATTCATGAATGTGTGAGATCAAGTCATCTCAATCTCTGAAGATGCTTAGAGATTGAATAAGATTAGTTTCAATGAGCTATTCACTGTAGTGATCTGAGCAGGTGAAGAGAGATAGTATAATGTATGAGACAGAATTACAAAAGATGAAAGCTGCTGAATCTAGTCATTAAACACTGAATTATATAGAGATTATGTAAGAGTAGTGACTAGTAGATAAAGAAAAAGTATAAGAAAAGAAAAGAAATAATGAATTAATCATCAATCATAAAAGTCAGCTGCAAAAGACAAATATTATTATACATACTTTATTTATTTTTATATGTCACATATTAATCTATTTTCAACACCATGCCATCTGAAAAACATCAAAAACAAAGGAAATCTTAAAACTCAAGATCTGTAAGAAATTCAAGAGCTGCAAGCTGCTCTTATAATAATACTGCACATGTCTCTGATTTCTCTACTGCTCTGTGTACAACATTAATGTCATTTATCACAAGATTGACTGGAATATTAATATAGAAATGCATACATGTACATGTAGAGAAATTGAAGAAGAGTGTGAGACCCGCAGAATCAGGAGTCAGAGTAGAAGAGATGAAGATGAAAGAGATAGAAGAAGAAGAAGACACAGAACTGAATAAATGATGACAGAAGTCACTCAGTACTGAACACTTATAACTCAGTGTGCACACAATCTTCTCTGTAGAGAAGAAAGAGAAAGTGACAGAAGAAGCTTAGAGATGAAGAGAGATAGTCTCAGCAGTATTATTATCTTTGATTAGAATGATCTCTGATACTGAAGCAACTAAGAACCATTATTAATATATAAAAATTATAAAAGCAGAGATAACAATTACTGAACAAACACTCACTGATCTTAGAATTGTACATGCAATTACAACATGTATGAGGCTTCTCAGAAAGAGAGAGAGAGACACAGAGAAATACAGAAAGCAGAACACAGTGTGTGAACAGCTTATTCTCATAATAATATCTCAGATAAGACATACAAGCCTCATATTCATGAGTGTAAAAGAGTATGACATCTGCATTTCTGTTTCTGAAAACACAGATATCTTTCATCTGCATCATGAAGTCAGATGACAGATATCAGAGAATAGACTGATACAGATCTATTATTCTGAAGAAATTTGTTAGAGTAGATATCTCTATAATATTAAACTTTACAGTTATGAAAAGCTTCTTGATATCTGTGAATATCATGACTTTGTACACAGTAAAACTCATAATGATTTTCTCTAAGAACAGAAAAATCAGTATTAGAAAGAAAAGATGAAAAAGAAAAAGACTTATAATCTCAATACTGTTGAAAAGAGAGATGATTCTCTGATATAAATAAATAATTATCTTATTATAAATATTTAAAATAAATGTAATAATTGATGTTCATGACTGAGCTTCAGATAGTTGTGTTATATACAGTCTTTGTATAATAAATTATTCTGAGAGTTGATAAGAAGAGTGAGAGTGTACATGTTGAGAGAGATAATTTATTAAGTCTATACAATATCTTCTTAAAACAGAGAGAGCTGGTAATGAAAGCAGAGATGATAAAATCAGAAGTAGCAGAAGTGAGAGTTACAGGAACAGAGGTAGCAGAAGTGAGAGAACCAGACATAGAGGTAAGTGTAGAAGATTGAGAAGTAGCAGAGAAAGAAACAGAGAGAGAAGTAGCAGAGAAAGAAGTAGCAGAAGAGGCAAGAAGAGACACAGAATACTCAGTCATATATAACATGAATAATTTCTTCATTATCATGTTCTTCAAGTTCTCAATCAAGAATGTAATATTGAGTTCACTATCATCAGCAGACACAGATCTGTCAATATGTGAAGATTCTATATAAATAAAAACAAACATATCAGTATCTGTATTCATGCAAAATTGTGTCAGAAAACATGATCAGAAATCTGCTGAGAAGAAAACAGTCAGAGATGTATAAGAAGATGAAGAAGATGTGTTATTCATAATAGTATATTCTGATAATCATTAGAAGATAAACAAGTTCTAGTCACATATATTTCACAATGTGTTATACTTACTGCTAACAAACTGCCTGATATGAGTACTACAATAACACTTGTTATGAGAACAGAAGATCATTGTCAGAAACATATATAATATAATAGATGAACAGATGAAAAGAGTTGAACAGAAGAAGAGATAGAAATCTTGAATAAGATAGTGATGTTCAATGATAATAATGATGAAGAAGATGATTGAAGAGTGAGAAAAGTTAGTGAATAAGTAATATAATATAGTAAAAGTTTCTTTGTAAGAGTATACACAGAATACTAGCTGAATCAGAAATAAGTTATATAATTGTGAAATGCTAGTAACAAGCTAATTCACATGAAGCTAGAACATACAATATAATTATGTGAGTGTGACTGAATCTGATGAGAGAGAATGTGATTCAGAAGAACATATAATCATTGAATAATAACACAGCTGCTTTCAAACTACTAGTGTACATGTACAAGTGTAAAGAGGCCATAGCGGCCGCTAATTAATTTAGTGTATGATATTACAATATATAAGAAGCTGATGTACGCCTGTAATTGTACACTGACTTAAGCAATCTTTGAATCACAACACAGCTGTAATAAGTTATTATCTTAATATTGTCTAATAAATAATCAGTATATATCTGTATAAATGTGAATATTTAGAGAATATACACTTAAAAAGTGTGATTAGAATGAACTCTACTGCTACTTGAATAATATCAAGAATAGAATACTGAAATTAATAATTCTTTTCATTAATTTCACAGAGAAGATGTGTGAAGATAATCTTAAAAAATATAAGATTTTCTGACTTCTGATAAAAACAGATCTCACAGAGAGACTCTATTTTTATAATATCAGAGACTGAGTATTATTAAAAAGTATTACTTTTATATAATATATATACACTTACTATAACAATTCACTCTCTGTATATATAACTGAGAATTATAACTTTCTCACATTACATAGCTCTCTCTGAAATGCTGTTATCAGTTTACAACTCATGTAGTCTCTCAGTTCAGTACATACTGTATATATAATAATACAGCTCTGTATGCTGAGACTGTGTTAATTATTATAATCTAATATATAGACTGACTATGTGACTGTGTCTGAGATCAGAATCAGAATATTTAATAATCTTATTATTAATTTAACTAATCTCATTACACTGTTTTAACATTAGATAGTAGTTTCATACTGTCTCAGTGAGACTTACTGTCTACTCTTATCACATTTTTCAAATAAGATTATGATTTTCACTTCTCAATTTAAATTATTTTTATTGCTTTAAATGACTTTAAATCTCATTTGAGTGTTATCAAAAAGTGTTACTTTTTAAAAAATTAAAAATAGTCTAAAAAAACCTTAAAATGTCTAAAAATAGTAACTTTATGTTAAGAATGAAACTAAATGAGATTAAATGAAATCACTTTCTCATTTTTTTCAAGTTATGATTTCATTTTAAAATCTGATATATAGTTACTTTGCATGTTTTTTTAATAATTAGTCTCAGTGAAATTCACACTAAGAAATGTATGAGATCAGATTAAATGAAATCAAATATAAAATTCATAATCTCAGCGGCCAGTCTACTGATATAATACTCACTTTTCACAGACTATGTTTCATTTGAGAAGAGAAGAAAAAGATGCAACTATTATTTTATTAAGAGAGAATAAATAATTAGTAATATTGAATATAATTTAATTCTTCTGTATTTAAAATTTGATGAGTCTATACTCTTCAATTTGATAGTTTCTAAGAGTGTTTTAATAGTTTTTATATCAGCTTGAACTTACTGATAAGTAGACTGGCCGCCAGGACTATGAATTTCATATTTGATTTCATTTAGTCTGATCTCATACATTTCTTGACATGAATTCTGCTGAGACTAGTTATTAAAAAAACATGCAAAGTAACTTATATATTAAATCTCAAAATGAAATCATGACTTGAAAAAAATGAGAAAGTGATCTTGTGATTCAAAGATTGCTTGAGTCAGTGTATAATTACAGATGTATGCTGACTTCTTATATACTGTATACTAAATTAATTAATAGCTGCTATAATCTCTTTACATTCATAAGCAAGTTCAGAAGCTGTTGGTGATTACTATATCTACTCTAGTCACGTGTCATCTCAACCTATTTATTTAGTGTAACTCGCGTAGTTAGATTACAACACAATAACATTATTCTTTAAGAGATTATAAAGCTCTTATTAAGCTAATAAAAACTGCTGAAATAATATGCAATTGATATCTTCACACGTTGTTACAAGCATGTCTAGATGATTTATTAAGTGATTGAACTCATAATTAATCTAAGATTCAGAGAAATATCTGACTTAATAAAAGAATACATATCTTCAAGATGAAGAAATGAGAAAATATCAGAGTAGTAAATACAAGATCACAGATCACTATTAATATTAATAATGAATTAAAAGACAGCTTCTGAGATATTTAAGCTGAATGAAATTATCACAGAAGAACAGTCTGATAAGTTCAATGTATATAAAAACTTAGTTAAAGATATCAGTGAGATGTCAGATAATACAGAGAGCTCAAGTGATCAGAATAATAATAACTCAGTGAGTGAGAAAACTTGTATAAGACTTGAAATTGTAAGACTTCAGTATAAGGTTGAGTGTATAAGAATCAATAGAGATGAGATTCTTATAAGTGATAAGATAAGAGTAAATCTGACAGAATATCTTTAATAGAAAGAAAAGACATCTGTTATAATAAAAGTTCTTAAAGAATTCAGAAGTTAAGTAAGACTTATCAAAAGATTAATAGTTCTCACTGAATTCATTAACTACTCAATATGAAGAGAGAAAATTCTTTTAACTGTAGAACAGTCTAAAATCAATAATATTCTTAAAGATAATAGTCTTAATGAGAATGTTATCATGAACATGCAACATTTCTGAAAAGAATACAATCTTTGATTATATAATTATATATGATCTGCAATTGCTCTGCAGATCAAGACTCATTTCACTATATTTAAGAAATTCAAGTTATCTGCTTATACTCTATAAACTATCATAGAGAATAACTTTTCTGAGAGGCCTGCTGTCTGCAGAACTCATCTATTTAAGAAACTGATTAGTATAACTGCTAAGTTAAAAGACTTAGATCACACTTTCATTGAATATCTGATTATTATAAGAACTGATTATGTCTGTCTAGAATATAAGATTCTGAATATTATGTTTTTTAACAGACTGCTTACAGAAGTTAACAGAGATTGAGCCTTATTCATAAGAAATTGAATAGATCAAATTGATAAAGATAATACTTAATTCTTAGAGAATGATTTTATAAGTCTGTACTGTGATATTCTTTTACAGCTCTCTGCTGTGAATGAAGCAAATACTGATATATCTAGAAATTCTATCAACAATGCGTAAGATAAGAATAAGAAAGACAAGAATAAAGAGAAAGATAATGACAAGAATAAGAACACTGAATTTAAACCTGAATGTAGAGATAATAATGCAAGAACCTGCTATTATTATCAAAAGATTAATCATATTCAGACTGACTGTTGAAAGAAATACTCTGAGAAACATTCTTCAAACTTCAATATGAATAGAAACAAGAATAAAGATAAGAATGCAGAGAATACAGATACTACTTCTATTCACAATATTATGAAGCAAGTATTTTACATCAAGAAAAAGATCTATGTGAGTGATTAGACAGGAAAAGATACCTGAATTCTAGACTCTGAATCAGGTATTCACATCACACCTCACAGAGATCTTGTCATGATAAAACCTCAGAAGGTGAAAGTGATGTTAAAAATAACAGACAGAACAGTAGTCTCTGCTGCAGCTATAGAAGATATGAAGATTTCAGTGAAAGAGATAAATATGCTGTTAAATAATATCTGCTATATTCTGAAGTTAGAAGTAAATCTCATGAGTATGAATAAGCTTATATGTCAGAGTTATATCTATAAGCAGTTAACATATGAGAATAATCATACTATATTGATTATGTCTTCTGATCATATATTCTCATTTACAGTAAGATTAAATGAGAATGATATCTATGAGATGAAAAGACTGATTACATACAGAGACTTGATTCAGTTTACTATACTTAATGATGATTTTGAATCTGTGAATACATTACAGATGAAAGATAACACAATATTAACACTATCTGACAGAAATGATACAAAGATTATAGAACTTATAATGATACAATGATATTAAAAGCTAGAACATCTGAATTCTGTGAATATCATAAAAATGACAGCAGATTCACAATCAGAAATGAGAATAAAGAGTGACAGAGCTTTGTCATTCTGCAAGATCTGTATACAGGTAAAAATAACATATTTAACATTTGCATTGTAAGAAATTCCGCTCCTCGCGAATTCTTTACCTCTATTTCTATCTCTCACATAATCAATAGAGTTAGCAGCTCTTGGCTACACACAACTATATAGACTAAAGTTCATGAATACTATTCATAACTCAGCTTAAATACTATTATATATTTAATTTCTATATTTTATCTTTCTACTGTAAATACTTCTAGTAGTTAACAGTATATATCATGTCAAGCTATAAACATCTGAATAATCACCTGTGAGTACTTATTCTTACATTTCAAGCTCAGTCAGTCAGTAACTGTCTATTATATCTGAAAGAACTAGAAACTTACATACTTTAATTTCTGTAAACTCTACTGCAGACACTCAGAAGCAGTCATCTGAATTATAAATAATCTTTATAAAAGAAGTCTCAGAGAACTTATCAATTACTTATAAGATATCATTCTCTACATCTGTGACAGAGAAATT